GAATCGCCCTGAGATGTTTCTTCATCCCAGCAGCTCAGTGTGCTTCAGTAGCAGCAGCTCATTCCTGTGTTCCCAATACCCCCAGAACCAGCTTCCTCATACCTTCTCCAAGACCACTGCCCATCAGTCTGGGATTTCCTCCTCCTTAGAGGTCTGCATGCCAGCTCTTGCCCCTTCCTACAAGCCTGTAAATGTTAGTAATTCCAAATTCTCCCTGTGTTCCCCAGAAATAGGGGTGGTTGTTCCTTCCTGTAGTTACTATTCCTATGATACCTTTGGTCCTTTTTAACTTTTCAGTTAATCAAGCTTCATATTAAATTATTTCTGTTAAAATTACTGGTGTGACTTCTGTTTCCTGCTTAGATTCTGACTGATATTTGTGTTTATTATTTGTCATGGTCATTCCAAATAAGAACAACAGGACAGCCGTTACAAAGGAGGAAGGAGGCAAATCCAGCTCAGGGTATTCCATTCTGTGTGTGTGACCAGTCTCTGCAAGTAGCTACTGGATTGATGGACTCCTGGAATCATGTAGGAACCACTCAGAGAAGGAGTAGAAAGTCTTTTCTGGATAATGCAGAAAGCACTTGAAGAATCTGAAGAACCACAGCATCAATTTCCACTGGCCAGTGGGCGAGAAGGTGAGCAAGTGTGAATGATCAGCCCTGAGTCCATAACGTATTCTGCTAGCTGCTGTGAGGAATGAGCCCTCTTGGGGTTTGATTGCATGTTTGCAGTTGTTCTGATGTTAGTTTGCATTATATGTTGGGCAGAATAACCAATGCTTTCAGCTATATTGCTTTCCTTCAAAAACCATTGAGGTCCTCTTTTGTACTCATCAGAAAAAAATAGTAAAAAACAAAAACAACAACAAAAATACACTCTAATAAAAAGCAGAATAAATTGAGTAGTAAAGATATTTTCCAATTTTCTGTACTCCCTGTTATTTATTAGGCAACTGGTATTCAAGCATTCTTGCCGTGTTGAAGACAGCTATTCAAATCTACTGATGGTTTTAATGTGAATATAATTCCCAACACTTCTTTGAAGCCTTTTTTATAGTGAAATATTTTATACATACATAAATGTATAGTTTAATGAATTATTATAAAAATAAATATCTATGTACCCAGCATAGAAAGTCAGGGAATAAGATCTCAAAAGCACTGTCCCCAAAAACCCCAACCCTACCCGCCAGAGCTGATACAATCCTAACTTTATGAGAATCACTGCTTTGCTTTTTCTCATAGTTTTCTCCACTGAGAATACACCAGGCCGTGGCTGGGTAGCTCAGTTGGTTGGAGCGTCCCCTGATAAGCTCAGGTTGTGGGTTTCATCCCGGGTCAGGGCGCATACAGGAAGCAAGCAATGAATGTGTAAACAAGTGGGACAACAAGTCTCAAATCAATCAATCAGTAATTTTTAAAAGAAGGCATCCATGAACGTGATGCAGTTTAATCATGCCTGTTTTAAATGTTTATATTTTGGGGCTTTCTGTATGCAATATACTTTTTAAGACACCTCTGTTATTTCGTGTAGCCATACTTCATGCGTTCTCATTATTGGATAGTATGCCAGTATACGGAACACCACAACTGAACGCCCATTCTATTGTCGTTTCCGGTTGGGTGCACATAAGCAAACACATTTTTAGGGTAAATATCTAAAAGTGGAATTACTGAATCATACGGTACACATATCCTAGCTAATGGCAAACCCTTTTCCAAAGTGGTGACCCCAGTTCACTCTCCGGTCTGCAGCGTGAGGGTCCTTTGCCCTACAGCCTCCCCAGCTCTGGGCCCCACCAGGCTCTGTATGCGGAGCTGGTGCCTGGAGTCACACCCGCCGTGAGTTTAATTTGTCCTCTTCTGGTTATTAATGAATTGAGCACCTCTTTAATCAACAACAAATATTTATTGGTCATTTGGATTTCTTTTGTGCAATTTTTGTTCAAGTAGTTTGCCCATTCTTGAACGGCTTGTTTGCCCTGATTTGCAGTTCTTCACCTATTCTCGGCAGTGTTTGTTGCAAATGTCTCCTCCCACTTGGTGGCCGGCCTTTCCTTGCTTTCTTTCCACCTTGGGAGAGCCAGGGTGGCCCGACAGCCGCCTCGTCCAGAGGTCCGAGGGTCCGGGGGTCTGGCCCTGCGCCGTCGTCCAGCGGTCCCCACACTCTCCTGCGGAGCAGGTGTCCCCGGACGCGGAGGCCGCGACCGCACCGGCTCCTCCCTCCCGTGCGGCCCTGCCCACGGCGGTGCCAGGCCGGAGTCGCTCGGGGCCTCGGTCTCCAGGGCAGCGCTGGGCGACGCGGGCGGAAGGGGACGCGGTAGGTGCCGCGGCCCAGGGCGAGGGCGGCGGGGCGGCGGCGGCGCGGAGGATGCGGGGCGCGGACGGGCGCCGGGCAGGTGACGGGCGGTTGCACCCGGAGCCGAGCGGGTGGGCGGCGCGCCGGGGGAGGGGCGGGAAGCGGGGACTGGGAGTGGGGACGGCAGGACGTCTCCCGGGGCCACGGGATGGGGCGGGGAGAGCTCGGAGGAGCCCGCCCACCGCACCCAGGACCAGGGCTGGCGGCCGGGATCTGGAAGGGCTGGGGCCCTGCTCCCACAGCTGCTCTGTCCTCGGAGGATTAGGGCCCGTCCAGGGCCCCAGACCCGCCGGACCGGGCGCTGCTGGGCCCTAAGCCGCCCCCCGCTGCCCAGTCTTATCCATCTCAGCAAAGGCAAAGGGAGAAAACAGACCCGAACGCCCCTGTGGGCAGCTTCTGCCTGTCCCCAACAGGGCCCCCGTTTCTCTACCAGTCAGCTTGGTGAGCAAGCAGGGTCCTCTAGGCCACCGCGGAGCCCCTTCTCCAGTGCTGGGGGCCAGACCCCGACCAGTTCCGGGCCGCCGGTTCCCAGGGCCTACCCGCCCCGTCGGTCTCGTTCCCTTGGATTTGTGTGCCTCTTGGTCAGAAATTTCAGGGAAAAACTGTCCTACCACTAGGCAGTCGCGGTCATTGCCTCCGAAACCCCCTTTCTCGTGCTGCCCCCGCCCGTGCTTTTCCACGGCCCGACCTCCGAGGAAGACCCACTTCCGTGGGACTTGGCTTTGCCTCCTCAGCCCTCTCAAAGTTCATTACTCTCTTAAGGGAAGAAGTAGCATCTTCTACGCACATTGTTTATCGATTAACTCCAAGAGACACTAATCTATCTCACTTAAGAAAAAAAGAGAAATTGAAGAAATTAATTTGATGAAGGAGCATGTCTAAATTGAAATATAACGACTAAGCTTTTTCTTTAAGATCTTAGGTATAGTGGCTTGAAGTCTTGTTTTAAAACTTTCAGTGACTTGACTGATTTGCTGCTTGTAAAAATATCCTAAAAAGCAACAGTTAATCGGTTCACCAATGTTAAAATAATACAGTAGAATGAAATAGATGTATTTTTAAAATAAGAGACTTAATACCGCAAACTAGGATTTACAGTTAGACAATAATATTTAAATATGAATGTTACCTTTAGTCTGTTTTGTTTGTTAAATGCATTCCTCCAAGGAACTGATGATGTTCCTTAGCAACAAAGTCAACCTAAGCAACGCTTGGAATAGCAACAAGTTCCTGTTGTTTAATTATAATTAGGATCTGCCAAGAAAAACACAAACAAACAAAAAGACAAGAGCAAGCCTTTAAAACAAATTCTACAGTAATCTCTGATGCTGAAGGTTTCTGTTATCTGACCTACAGGGGAAAATGGCTTAAAGGCCGAGAGGTGGAGGCAGAGAGGAGGCCGAGAGGTAGAGAAGGCCGGGAGGTGGGGGCAGAGAAATGCTAGGTAGAGATGAAAGGAAACACAGTCCAAAAACGTCTCCTTTCAGTCTGATGTGAGGTCAAACCACCTTTTCCATAAACCGTCTCATTGCACCTTGAGGCAGGAGGGCTCACTTGGAAGGACACTGAAGCGTGTCAGAGGAGACCCCAGGTGCTAGCAGGCCCATCTCCCAGCACCCTCCAGGACCGCGTCTCCTTCAGATGGAGGGACATCCACCTCTTCTCCAAACCGCTCACGGTGGAATTCACAGGGCTGCCAAAGCTTTTGGCAAACAGTTTTAATCATTATTGTGTTTTTTATATACTGTGCTGAGGTTGGTCTCCATGGAATGACTCCCCACCCCCGAATTACATGTTCCTGTGTATAGCGAAGCCTCCCAGTGATGACACCAGCCAGTATAGGTCCAGGAACAAGCAGCTCCCTCTCCACAGCTCTGACTGTGCGAACCACCCTCTTGCCCTCTCTACCTTCAAGGTAGACCATGAACCTGTTTCCTCTGTCCGTGAATACAACTGAGCAATGGCGTATTTGTCAGTACCCTGGGTATTTGAAATAAGTCCACCAAGGTCCTGTCCATAATTACCACGTGGCTTGTCCAGGCCTGTCTGTCACAGGCCCTTGGAAGCTAGAAAAGGATTGAGCTTCCACTCAGCTACTTCATTTCCTCCATGAAGCTGCCCTTGATCTCTCAGGCCCGGAGAAGCTCTTCATCAGACGTGTTCCTGCAGAGAGCAAAACACAATGATATTTCCAGCAGACCTTTCTCACGCACAGAAGGGTGCACACAGCCTCCGGTGTGGCTCTGATGAGCATCGTCCCTGCACCAAGAGGTGGCAGGTGTGATTCCCGGTCAGGGCACAGGCCAGGGTTGGGCGTCATCCCCAGTAGGGGGCGTGCAGGAGGCAGCCGATTGACGATGTTTCTTCCTCATCGATATTTCTCTTTCTCCTTCTCCCTCTAAAATCAATTACATATATTTTTAAAAAGCATATACATAAAAGCCTGCAGGTAATATTACTAAGTTATTGTCTTCATTTACATCTTTATTAGCATTGGAATTAAAGATACTTCAGTAGTCACAAAGTAACATAAATATACTTTTTTTAGGTAATGCTTTTGTGAACCACAACTTTAAATATTCAGCCAACTGCTCCTGTCAACAAGAGTATCCTGTTAATTTTTGTATTTTTTTAAGATGAGTTATAGAAAATTAATTCCCAAGCTCTCTATTCAGTCTCCTGTCCATCATGCCAACTTAAAGGTTCAGTCCACAGAATCACCTTTTAAGAAAAAAGGCTTCCATCTAATTTCAAAAGACTCCCTGGAAGCTGATTCAGAGAGCCTCACTCAAGAGATTAATTCCCAGTCTGAACCTGAAGACCAAGTCCAGGACGACAACATGGAGCCTGACAGCTTAGAGGGGAGCTCCCCGCAGGACAGCCTGAGCGAGAGCGAGGAGGAAGCCAGCCGGAGGGCGGCGCAGGTGCTCAGCAGTGACCGCCTCCGTACCCAGGGCAATGGCGGGAACCACAGGTAAGGAACTGCCTTGTGTAAGATAGCAGTGGTTTCTGAAATGCATTGTTAAATGATTTCTGGTACTGTCCCAAGTGAGAGCGCCTTGCAATGTGTGTGAGATGGGTCTCCCCGCATCTAAGGACAGCTAGGAGCCAGGCTCTTGGCCACATTTTTTTTTTTTTTTTTTTATCCTCACCCGAGGATATTTTTCCATTTTTTGTACAGATAGAGTGGGAGGGAGAGACAGGAAGGAGAGAGAGAGAAACATCGACGTGAAGGGACATATCGAGTAGCTGCCACCCGCACGACCAACCAGGGCCGGGGACAAACTGCAACCGAGGTATGCGCCCTTAGCGGGAACCGAACCCGGGTCTCTCCAGACCGCAGGCCGACGCTCTAACCACTGAGCCAAACTGGCCAGGGCGACATTTTTTTTTTTTTTTAATTAAAAAATATGCAAAAGACAAGGAGCCCTGGCTTGGTAGCTCAGTTGGTTAGAGCATCGTCCCGATACTCCGAGGTTGTGGGTTTAATTCCAGTCAGGGCACATACAAGAATCAACCAATGAATGCATAAATAAGTGGAACAACAAACCCATCTCTCTCTCTCTCTCTCTCTCAAAAATATAAATAAATACACACACACACATGCAAAACGCGAAGAGAGGTACTCATAAAGGAATCTGCTTTTCTTGTGCTCCTTATTTCCTGTATGTATTCCAGGTGTCTCCACTGCTGACTCACCTTGGAGAAACCCCAGAAAGGCTGGTAGAGCAAAATGCCATAACTTAAAGTCGTATGGTCTTGATTCAGTCCCGGCCCTGCCTTTTAGTGTATGATGTAGAATAAGTCACTTAACTCTTTTGCATCTCACCTTTTCTCACCTGTTAAGTAAACCAGCCTGCCTACCTCCCAGGGTTGCTAAAAATGTCAGTCAGATGCATTCTGGAGGTCTGTACCTCCTAGGGCTTATATAATCATATAAAGATTCAATTTCCAATCATCAGTGTTGATAGAGCATTAACTTTATGCTATGCGCTACCAAAATCTATAAGAAAAAATAAATGTATGCAATACTACTCAGTTTTAATGAAAATATAAATGATGTGATAGCCCTGGCCGGTTTGGCTCAGCGGTTGGAGCGTCGGCCTGCGGTACAGAGAGACCCGGGTTCGGTTCCCGCTAAGGGCGCATACCTCGGTTGTAGTTTGTCCCTGGCCCTGGTTGGTCGTGCAGGTGGCAGCCACTCGATGTGTCCCTTCACGTCGATGTTTCTCTCTCTCTCTTCCTCTCTCTCCCTCCCGCTCTATCTGAAGAAAAAATGGAAAAATGTCCTCGGGTGAGGATAAAAAAAATAATAAAATAAAATAAAAAAATAAATGATGTGATAGAGTATGGAGGTTAAAAGCTATTGATTAGAAAGAGGTTTTAGTGTGGTAGTGAAGTACATAGAGTCTGAAACAGATCGTCGTGTTCAAATTCTTCCACTTACTAGCTGTATGACTGGCCAAGTCCACTTCATCTCTCTGTGCCTCAGTTTCCTCATGGGTAACAATGTATAATAATAATGGTTACCTTACAGAGTTATTGTGATGTTAAAATAAATTAATATATATATGAAGTACTGAGAACAGGGACTGGCTGTTTATAAGTTATACATATGTTAGGTTTTCTAAAATTAGGGGTAAATGAAGCAGGATCCAAGACAGGTGGATCCTATGGTAAAGCAACTGGAAACAGCTTGGGTGGGCTTGAAAGGTGGGTGGGGCAGGGCTGCAGGGAATCACCAGGGCAGGGCAACCAGTGTGAGCAGGTTGCTGGAGTCCCAGATATGGTGGCCGCCTGCCGCCCCAGGGAAGGGCTCACCAAAGGAACAAAGGCCTCTAATAGCACGCCTGTCCTGGAGAAAGCCCCCTCTCCAGCCCTCACTCCAACACCAAACAATTCAGTTCTTCCCCCATATGTTTCTGGTGCCTTTCAAGCTGCCTCCCCATTGCTGGGGCCTTTTAAGAGGAGCTGCCTGGGGCTCCAGCAGCCTCAGCCTCTCTCAGCCTCATTTCCTGCTGCTGTTTATAGCCAGAAGTTATGGGGATTTCTCTTCTGGGCACTGGAACCTTGAGGTGGGGCCTGGTGTGGGACGGGGACCCCTCAGTCCTCAGGGAGGACCTTCCCAGCCAAGGTGTTCTTCTAATTTTTTTCAGCCACACGTGGGTGTGAGACCAGCCTGTCTGCTTCTGCCCTCCTACCAGTTTCGATGTGGCTGCTGCTTTAATTCCATAGTTGTAGGACTTCCAGTCAGCTCAATGTCAGGCAGTTTTGAATGATGGTTGTTCTGTAGTTTAGTTGTAACTTTGATGAGGTTGTAGGAGGACGTGATACCACCATCTTGACCGGAAGTGTAAGAATTTTTCTTAATTTTGAAATATATTGAGTGGTATTTACATTGTCTTGGGTAAAGAGCAAGGTTAAAGCTGGATCCCTGAGCATCGACTCAAAGAGGAAAAACTCAAAACTGGGAAATGAGGTCACTGCACTCAATGGATCCTTGTCTTGGTTTCATCTTGAAAATACAGACAAGAATACCTGTCCAACCCTGGCCAGTTTGGCTCAGCAGTTAGAGCGTTGGCCTGTGAGACCCGGGTTCGGTTCCCGCTAAGGGCACGTACCTCGGTTGCAGTTTGTCCCCGGCCCTGGTTGGGTCGTGTGGGTGGCAACCACTCGATGTGTCTCTTTCACGTCGATGCTTCTCTCACTCTCTCTTTCTCTCCTACTCTATCTGAATAAAATGTGGAAAAATGTCCTCGGGTGAGGATTAAAAAAAAAAAATTTTTTTTAAAAAGAATACCTGTCCATCACAAAGATCTTTCTGTAAATGAAACTGCCAGTGTTTATCACCTAGGAGACCATGACTTTCTTAGATTAGAACTATAAGAAAAACATGCAGGTAAAAGAGGGCATAGAGGGGACAAATGGTGATGGGAAAAAATAAAATAAAAACATGACTTCAAGCACAGAGTCAGACTGCCTGAGTTTTCTGCTTCACCACTCACTAGATGTAAGAAAGAGGTGTAATGTAACCTTTTAAAGCCTCATCTACAACCTTTAAAATGGTATCATTATAGAGTCCACCTACCAGAGCTGCCACAGGACTACGTGAGATGATGAACGTGAAGTGTTCAGGACAGTGACTCTCTAAGTGCTGCAGATGTTACTAGAACCAAAGTGATCTTGGGCTTCTCTTGTTCCTTCAGTCACCATATCTAGTCTGTCCAAGCCCTGTCAATTCTTCATTATAGATACACATTTCTCCACTAACTATAAATTAATCATGGCAGAAATAAATAAAAGACTGCTAAGAAGAAATATGTATTGGTTATCTCTCAGGAAGAAAACGGCAATGGATTTGAGAAGGGGAACAAGAAAACTTTACCTGTAGCATTTTGTCTTTAAATATATATCTGAAACAAATACAGTAATAGGGTTACAAGTGTTTTTCTCTGTACTGTTCTGTTGGTTAGAATTTTGTCAAAATTAAGAAAAGAACAATAGCAAAACAACAAACATCCCCTCACACCACTGTGATGTTAGACGAGTTACTTTCTCTCTCTTGGCTTCAGTTTCCTCATCTGTGAACTGGGCATTGTAAGTGTACTTTCTCACATGATGACAGTGATTAAGGGAAATTACAAACTGGCCTGTACAAAGAGATACTGCTGCTGTTATCGTTGCCTCTTGTTGGAATTTTGCCGTCTGGTAGTCTCTTTGCCCCCTGTGTGTTTATCGTCTACGTCAAAATGTGTCAGCTTGCAGAATACGTTCCTTATGTGCCGCTCATCTCAGGGCCTCCCCACACCTGCTTCTCTCCTCGGGCACAGCCAGGCATCGCGGTGGCTGGCAGGACTCTCCCGAGCCCTGTTACCCTCCGCAGTGGCCACACTTCACTGACAGCATTTATCACTGGTACTGAACTTTGAGATCCCTTCAAAAGCATATCAACTTGGTTCAACTCAGTATTCCCAGAGAAAGAAAGGAGGCTGGAAATAAGACAGGAAGAAACAGACTCAGGACCAGGCTCGAACTCAGTCTTTACAAAGAGCCTCATTGAGTTCTGTGTTCAGGGTCTATTAGTGCCTTGACTGGTTTCACTCCATGATGGCCCCAAAGCAAGGCCCCTCCTCAGTCCACTTTCCCTACACTGAGGACAGGTCCTCTGCCATCAGCAGGGCTGCTCAATATGCCACACACAATGCTCAATAGACTTAGTGAGAACCTCAGTGAACTTAGTGAGGGCCTCAAGAGCATAAAAAAGAAGCAGTCAGAAATGAAGGAGGCACTAACTGAAATAAAGAATAATTTACACAGCCCTGGTTGGTTTGGCTCAGCGGTTAGAGCGTCGGCCTGCGGTCCAGAGAGACCTGGGTTCAGTTCCCACTAAGGGCACGTACCGCAGTTGCAGCTTGTCCCGGCTCTGGTTGGTCGTGCAGGTGGCAACCACTCAATGTGTCCTTTTCAGGTCAATGTTTCTCTCTCTCTCTCTTCCTCTCTCTCCCTCCCGCTCTACCTGAACAAAAAATGGAAAAATGTCCTCGGGTGAGGATAAAAAATAAAAAAAATTTTAAAAAAAGAATACTTTACACAGATTCAATGGTAGAGTAGGTAAAGCCAAAAAGCAAAGCATCGCTTTGGAATATAAGGAAGCAAAAAACACCCAATCAGAACAGCAAAGAGAAAAAAGAATCCCCAAAAATGAGGGTAGTGTAAGGAGCCTCTGGGACAACTTCAAGCGTGCCAACATTCACATCTTGGGGGTACCAGAAGGAGAAGAGAGAGAACAAGAAATTGAAAACCTATTTGAAACAATAATGGCAGAAAACTTCCCTAACTTGGTGAAGGAAACAGACATACAAGTCCAGGAAGCACAGAGAGTCCCAAAAAGATGAACCCCAAGAGGCCCACACCAAGACACATCATCATCAAAATGCAAAAGGTTCAAAACAAAGACAGAATCTTAAAAGCAGC